TTTTCCAAAGCAGTCACACCATTTTACATTCCCACAGTGTATGAAGAGTCCAATTACTCCATGTTATTACCTGTCTTTTTGATCAGAGGCAACCTAGTGGGTGTGAAGTGGTATCTCACTGTGGTTTTTGATTTGCATTTCCTTGATGGCTAATGATGCTGAACACCTTTTTCATGGCTATTTGTAGATCTTCTTTGAAGAAATACTTATTCATATCTTTTGCCCATTTCTTAATTGAGTGCTGCTCTCCATCTTACCATTCTTAAAAGATCAGTCTTTATATACCAGGTATACATCATTACCTTCTTACAATCATCAACCCACTACAACCTCACTTCTGCTCCCCACTCTGAAATTGCTTGTCAGAAGTGCCAACCACCTCTGCAGTGACAAAAATCAATGGGTACTGGGGTACCTGGGTGGCTCAGTCAGTTGAGCGTCTGACTCTTGATTTCGGCCCAGGTCATGATCTCGGGGTCATGGGATCAAGCCCCAAATGGGCCTTGTGTTCAGCAGGGAGTCTGTTGGGAGATTTTTTCCTTCTTCTCCCTCTGCCCCTTTCCCCACACTCTCTCTCTCTCATAAATAAATCTTATAAAAAATAAAATTAAGGGTGCCTGGGTAGCTCAGTGGGTTAAGCCTCTGCCTTTGGCTCAGGTCATGATCTCAGGGTCCTGGGATCGAGTCCCAAGTCTGGCTCTCTGCTCAGCAGGGAGCCTGCTTCCCTCTCTCTCTGCCTGCCTCTCTGCCTACTTGTGATCTCTCTGTCAAATAAATAAAATCTTAAAAAAAAAAAATTAAGAAAATTAAAAAAAAAAAAAAATCAATGGCTACTCTTCAGTCCTCATCTTCCAGAATAAAACTCTATGGTTTGTACATCCACATTATAATTCCATCTGACCTCTTAATCTATACTTTATGACATCCTGTTTCTTGTCTGTATCCTTCTGTCTTACAGCATATTTTCTTATGGAATTAGAAATGTAAACCAGTAATCCAAGGGTATATCCAGAGAATTGCAGGTAAAAACAACTGCATAAAGCAGAGTGAAGGAACGGAATCAAGGAGCGGGGGGGATAGGTGTGGAAGATAAGGAAAGGCTGGATAGGAGCACCTGGGTGGCTCAGTTGGTTAAGTCTGACTCTCAATCTCAATTCAGGTCTTGATCTCAGGGTGGTGAGGTCAAGACCTGCAACGGGCTCCACACTGGGCATGGAGCCTACTTAAAAAAAAATTGAAAATAAAAATTAAGGGGTACCTAGGTGGCTCAGTCAGTTAAACACCTATCTGCCTTTGTCTCAAGTCATAATCCCAGAGTCCTGGGATTGGGCCCCATATCACATCCAGCTCCCAGCTCAGTGGGGAACTTGCTTCTCCCTCTCCCTCTGCCTCTGCCTGCCACTCACCTGCTTGTTCTCTCTCTCACTCTCTCTCTCTCTCTGTGAAATAAATAAATAAAATCTTTTAAAAAATAAAAATAAATATTTTTTAAATTAAAAAAAAGGCTGGATAAATAGTGAGTATTAGGTTAGGATTTTGGCTTTGTTTAGCAGGTAATATATAGCCATTAAAGGTTTTTATACAAGAAATGCTCAGTACTAGACTTACTGCTGGGATGCTGGAAGACTGTCATGGCAGCAAATATAAAGTTACTGGGTGGAGGGGGGAGGAGGGGTTACTAGTTGGCTCAGTCAGTTAAGGGACCAACTCCTGCTTTGGGCTCACATCGTGATCTCAGGATACGGAGATCCAGCCCCAGGACAGGCTCCCTGCAAAGCACAGCTAGGCTTGTCCCTCTCCCTCTGCTCCTGCTCTCGTGTGTTTGCTCCTCACTCACTCTCATAAATAAACAAAAAGTCTTTAAAAAAATCCTTTAAAGTTATCTGGGGGTCAGGGGCAAGGCTGGGAGAACCAGGAGGCAAGCAGATCATGTGGGATACCTATTATAGTAGTAAAGATAATCAGTAATGAGTGCATAAATTAGTCTGGTAGGGCTCAAAAGGTAAAGGAAGGATCAAAGGAAAGACGTTACCACTAAACTTTAACCAACTGAGTCAACTTTATTATGGACAACAAAATAGCTGCCCCCAGTCAAGAGATGTTAATCCTAAAAGTCCTTAGTCCTCAGCTTTAATAAAGTTTGATTTGATGGAAACTAGCTGAAAGTGTAGTAGACACAGAAAAATCATCCTTCCCTGTTATAAGCATAAAAGCTTATAGCATTGCTTCCCACTTTCTTCTCTCCTAAGTAAATACTAAAAACTTTCAGATAACTCCTGCTTCTCAGAGTGAAGATCTGACAGTGCCCACCAGTTAGATCCACTCCCATCCATCACTGCTTCCAACCCCCTCCCCCTACTGTAGCTCTTTAGTCTGTTAAGATCAAGAGGAAATAGAAATTTATGCAAAATAGGTTAGGCAAGGCAAATTATCCCAAGTTAAACACAATCTCTTCTCTTTTTTTTCCACAGGAAATAGTTGTTGATGCTCTGAGGAGTTAAATTATAATAACACATGCCAGGAAGATGATGTCAGGGAAGGCGTGGTTAGGCCCTTCACAAGTCTGAGATTCCTTCAGTTCCAAACATTTCCTCTTTCAATCTCACCTACACTCAAGTCTCTCTACCAAGGCAACTCTTTCAAACACTGAAGTGTTGAGACCCTAGAACTCTGATTCTTTTACTTTTCAATTTTTTAAAAATGAACCAAAGAGTAATTGAAGCCCATTTAAACAGATGTTTTTAAAACATGCACTACATTATGTTTCAGAATCAGTCTTTGAAATCCACATTCCCCCTTTCTGTTACTATTTTAATTCCAAGAAAAGAATGGATATTCAACACTACATCTTGAGAAAGAATCTGCCTTTATTAGGAATTATATATTCGTTGGTTGTATTCCTGCATTTACCACAATGAAAAATAGTAAGAAAACTATGTCGTGGACTCCTCAGGTAACAATTTCCCTGACAAGTGAAGTATACAACTATGCTTCCCAATAAAACAATCCTACTTTTTAAAGTCAAGTAAATAAAATTAACACTTTCAAAAAAGTCACAACACTGGTATACAAATAGTTCTTCTGAGCTCCCTGGCAATTATTTCTACTCCACAAACTAGAAGTGATGACTACAATAAATTATGATGTAAAAATCCTCCTTCAAGAAAGCAGATCTTGGGAGCGCCTGGATGGCTCAGTGGGGTAAAGCCTCTGCCTTTGGCTCAGGTCGTGATCCCAGGGTCCTGGAATCAAGCCCCATGTCAGGCTCTCTGCTCAGCGGGGAGCCTGCTTCCTCCTCTCTCTCTGCCTGTCTCTCTGCCTACTTGTGATCTCTGTCAAATAAATAAATAAAATTAAAAAAAAAAAAAGAAAGCAGATCTACAAATCTATTATACCTAGATTTTTGTATTACATAATGACAGTTAAAGCAGATATTGAGAATTTGTATTTTTTAAAAGTTTAAATTTTGATTGTTCTTTCAGTGTTTTAAACATTTTGGACAGGTCAAAGAACTTCATCGCATAGACTCGATCTACTTGAGAAACTGAGTTCTTAATATAAATGAAAAGCCAACATCAACATTAAAACTTAACCTTGTCATAGAAAAGTCTGGTAGGATATATACACCAAATTGCTACCAGTTATTTTCCATGAGGGGTAGGATTTGAGAAAGGAACTTTAGGACAAGAAAGGAAGACTTAACTTTTTATTTTATATACCTCTTTATGCTTACTTTTTTTTTAGTGAGCATGTCTTAAATTTATTACTAAAAACAAAAGTTATTTAAAAATGTAACCTTGGTTGGGGTATCTGGGTGGCTCAGTGGGTTAAGTCTCTGCTGTCAGCTCAGGTCATGATCTCAGGGTCCTGGGATTGAGTCCCACATCTAGCTCTCTGCTCAGCAGGCAGCCTGCTTCCCCCTGTCTCTCTCTACCTGCCTCTCTGCCTACTTGTGATCTCTGTCTGTCAAATAAATAAATCTTTTAAAAAAAATGTAACCTTGGGGGTGCCTGGGTGTCACAGCTGGTTAGCAGCTGACTCTTAGTTTTGGCTCAGGTCTTGATCTCAGGATCCTGGGATCAAGCCCTGCAATGGGCTCCACTGGGCAGAGTCTGCTTTATACTCTTTCTCCCTCTTACTCTGTTCCTCTGCCCTCTGCAAACGTGCACATCTGCACGTTTGCCTCTCTCTCAAGTATAAAATCTTTTAAAAGAGTATGAAAAAGTAATCTTGAATGTAAAAATTTACAAATTGCATGAACAAATCCATCTAAACACTCTTCCTAAAAGAGAAACAAACACATTAAGTACTACATGTCAACACAAACACAGAGCAATGTCATAATGTTTTCAATATACCCAATATTCACCAACCTGTATGTACACACACGAGTCATATACATAGCCACAAAGTTTTTACACTGACCTGTAAAAACCCACACGATTCTTGATTGCTTCTCAAACTTTACAAGTTATCAGAAGAGATATGAGATTTGAATCCTAGTCCATAATTATACCTCTTTGTCCCCTACGGTATCCCAGATTTAGAAGCTGGTTAAATGCTTCCTACACTACAAGATGGAAAGGGAGTAAAGACAGGTAAGAGAAGATTTTAGATAGCACTGAATACATGAAGCCCTTAAGAGGAAAAAAAAACTAACTTCTAGAATTTATTTTTACTTTATTTTAATGGGTCTGGGTAACCTGAGAGACTTGGAGAAAAAAAAAATGGGGAAAGTTTCATATAGTACTATATAAATTTTGAAAAGAATAAAAACAAATGAAATATCCAGTCACCTAGTGACATTGGTTAAATGTCTGCCTTTGGCTTGGGTCATGATCTCAGGGTCCTAGAATGGAGCCCCACATCAAGCACCATAACAAGCACCAATCCCTCTCCCTCAGTGCCACGCCCCCACTCGTGGGCTCCTTATCTAATATAAATAAAATCTTAAAAATATATTCTTCTACCAAAATTATATATTCATATATGTATGTGTATTATTGATAACTAACAATCATATATGGACCCATATTTCATAAGGATATGAACAGAATGGATACCGTTACAAATTGATACTAAGTGTTTTGGGTCTAAATATTTATCCACTGCCTTGATCAGACACTTGGTTTAAATTGCCTATAACAATATCTTTAGATATATGAGAAAGCTCCAGGAATCCTTCCCAAACCCTCCAATGCTCCATCGGATGGGTAAAAGATCCCTACACATCCATGGCATCTTTTTTCTTCAAAGAACAGCTACATAACAGGAAAGAGGGTAAAGGGTCTTTCTCCTACACCATGAAGTTCTTCCTAATCACCACTGTGTGCCCTGAAATGCCAAGAAACTGCCAAGGATATTCTCTGTTGAATGTGGGCATGACTGTCCACCTCTTGTTAGACTGCCCATGCTTCCAAGCATACCACAATTCTCTGGCATCCGCAGGTTAATCACAAAGACTCTGAGGATCCCTGCTGGGCCTGGCCATCACCAGAGGTCCAAGCACCAGCTCAGCAGCAGAACCCAAAGAATCAGAGACTGCTACCTTAATTCCAAGGTATGTTCTCTCTTAGGACTCCTTCCCTCGGGGCTGGGTAGGACAGGGTCTCTACCTAGTCTAGAAGAGTATACCCAGTTCTTGATGAAGCTGTCGTGATTTCACAGACTATATATTTCAGGTACCTGATAATGCTGGTGAAGTGGGTAGAAAGGAAGGGGTGGGGGGCGTAGAAACAGTTCATCAAAAAGATAAAAATAACCTTGGAGGGAGTGGGCAGGAGACCAGGGTTTGAGATGACATATTATCTCAGTGGAGACTGGCTATATCAGCAGGAAGTCAAACTAACTTATTTCACAAAGATACAAACTTACAAGCTTGATTTGTTTTTAATTCCCCTGCCTTCTCAGGCCTCACAGGCAGGGACTATAAACTGCTAGAACTTCAAAACCAGGTGAGAAAAGATGCCGAAAGAAGTGGTGGAAAGGGAGAGGCACTGAGTGGAGAGAAGAATTCCGATCCCCTCTAACTGGGAATGTTAAAGCCAAGGGCACTCCCGGATCCCCAGGAAAGGAAGTCGCTGGATTCCAAAAAGCACTTTTCCCTACCTTCTTGTTGCTCTTGTTATAGCCAAAAGTCGAAATCCCAGGCCTGGAAGTCACTGATAGCAGCATTTTCTCTTTAATATAAGGGAGCTGAGAGAGAGAAGAGGGAGAGGGAAAGGGAGGGGGAAGAAAGGGGGAAAGAGAAAATGAGAGGGAAAAGGGAGGAGGAGGAGAAAGGGGGAGAAAAGGAGCAAGAGGGAGAGGGATGGGGGGGGCGGGTAGAGAATGAGCTAGGGCTGCTTGTTTACGTCACTGAGAGAAGTTAACCAAGAGTCTGAATGAGGCACTTCCACTGGGTCCTAATGCCCCAGATGTTATTTTATTTTTCACAGTCTTGGTAGTTAAAGCAAAAAGAAAAGTTCTTAGGTCTACCTGTTTCAACTCCATCCCTTTTCCAATAAAAACAGGTTCTGATTCCCCCCGCAAAAGACACTGAAGATTTTTTTCTTTTTTTTTTTTTTTTGCCTTAGAGCTATAAGATTTAGAAGCTTGATTTTTAAAGGGACCACTGTGACACACTGCCTCAGAGAACACGTGAGGACAACTATACTGAGAACAAATATGTGAGATGAGTTCAGGACTTTTCCCACACTTTATACTTAGAGTGATCTTCATGCAGGAAGAAAGAACAAACAGAAGAGTGGGCCAAAGAGCAGAGACAGAGTATGGGAAGTAACCAGTTTCAGATCCTTGGATAGTTCTAGTCCGCATTCCTCTTGGGTCATGCTGTTGCGCTCAGCCTCTCACTCCTTTTCAGATTCCCCCAGGCATGATTTCATACTTGAGAAGGAATTATCAAACTGGACAATGTCATGAAATTTGGTGTCTGGTGGTTTCTTTTCTTTCCCCCCAGCTTTACCAGATAAAACTGCCTGCCTAGCAGTTTCTTCAACAACTGTAAACTATCTTGTTTGACTCTTTATCCTACCATTTTCTGTCATCAAGGTGCGTGAAGCTCAAATAATTAAGATTACTCACCAAACGTGGAATTTATGCCCAAACTGAAGTTCGGAGTTGGAATGTCTGCTTCAAGTGTCTCTGAGCTGTAGGAAAAAATTACTTTTAAAAGCATATGCTTCACAGAGAAGAAAATACAAAGTTCTTAGGGAAGAAGAATCTAACACAGTTGAGACAACACTCACCTCAAACAGTTTCAAAGTGATGGCTTGTAGAAGTAGCCTTAATAAGAAACTTGTAGGAAACCAAAAATTCAAGAATGATACCCAGTAATTCCTACCAATCCAAATGGAACAGGGATGTAAAATCAAAGCCTTCAAATCCCTTCTTCAGGTCACCTTGTGCCATCATAGATGTTCTGTCAAAACACAAATTAACCTTGTCTGCAGGGCTGTTGCCCCAACAAACCTTAAGCCCAAAACCTCCCTTAAATGAAGCGCCCTTCTCCCTTCTAGTTTTCAGGCCACCTTTTTGCTAGGATAATGCGACAGACAGGACTAACAATCCGCAGAGTAAATACTCACATATTCACATACCACACTCTAACTTTCATTTCCAACAGGACAGGAAGTGCCTGCTCAGCTCAAGGGACACAGGAAGGGTGGGAACAGCCTCAATGTGGGAACTACAACGGAGACTGGAAGAACAGTGGCCAAATGCAATAAATAAATTACTAAAGGCATCTCTCAGTGCTACTGTATTTTTTTAAAGTCCCTTTTCTGCCCTCAGAGATTCCCATTCATTATATGCCAAAATATCCTTGCCAGTTAGGCCCTTGGTTGATTTCTTCTCTCTTAGCTTACCAATGTGGTACAAAAATCTTGATCTCTAACACCTGATTTAAAATGGAATTTATTGGGCGCCTGGGTGGCTCAGTGGGTTAAGCTGCTGCCTTCGGCTCAGGTCATGATCTCAGGGTCCTGGGATCGAGTCCTGCATCGGGCTCTCTGCTCAGTGGGGAGCCTGCTTCCCTCTCTCTCTCTGCCTGCCTCTCTGCCTACTTGTGATCTATCTCTGTCAAATAAATAAATAAATAAAATCTTAAAAAAAAAAAGGAATTTATTTTATTTTCATTTTTATTATTTTTTTTAAAGATAAATTACCAGGGACTTCTGAAAGATTTTATTTATTTATTTGACAGACAGAGATTACAAGTAGGCAGAGAGGCAGGCAGAGGGAGAGAGAGGAGAAAGCAGGCTCCCTGATGAGCAGAGAGCCCGATGCGGGGCTCCATCCCAGGACTCTGGGATCATGACCTGAGCTGAAGGCAGAGGCTTTAACCCACTGAGCCACCCAGGCGCCCCCTAAAATGGAATTTATAAAGCCAGTCAACCTATTTTAAAATTCTTTTTTTTTTTTTTTTTAAAGATTTTATTTATTTATTTGACAGGGACAGATCACAAGTAGGCAGAAAGGCAGGCAGAGAGAGAGAGAGAGAGGGAAGCAGGCTCCCTGCTGAGCAGAGCGCCCAATGCGGGACTCGATCCCAGGACCCTGAGATCATGACCTGAGCCGAAGGCAGCCGCTTAACCCACTGAGCCACCCAGGTGCCCCCAGTCAACCTATTTTAATTTTTTAAAAAATTCTAACATTCTCAATGTGTTTTGTTCTCCTCCTTTATTCCTTAATGCTCAATGATATTGTAGAATTTAAAATAGGGTCCCCTCAGTGACACAGTCGGTTAAGCACCTGACTCTTGGTTTTGGCTCAGGTCATGATATCAGGGTCATGGCCCAACCCCCCCACCCCCAACTTGGGCTCTGAGTATGGAGTCTGCTTGAGATTCTCTCTCCCTCTTCCTCTGCCTCTGCCACTGATGCTCTCTAACTCTCAAATAAAATAAATAAATCTTTAAAAAAATAAAATCTAAAATAGTTAAAACCATGAGTCTTAGAGAGACACAGCCCATGAGTTCAAATGCTGACACCATCGTTATTACTTACGTGACTTTACATCAAGGTACTTAACATCCCTAAATTACTCATTTGCAAAATGGAGATAATACCTACTTCATTAGTCTTTGGAATCAAATCTAAGTTCTAGTTCGGTTCTGTCACAAACTAGTGACACAGAAAATCACCTCATATGTCTGAAACTTTTCTCACCTATAAAACAGGATAAATAAAGAGTATCTCTTTCCTAAAACTGTAGTGAAATGAGACAATACATATAAAGCCCTGAGAAAAGGGCGCCTGGGTGGCTCAGTGGGTTAAAGCCTCTGCCTTCGGCTCGGGTCATGATCCCAGGGTCCTGGGATCGAGCCCCACATTGGGCTCTCTGATCGCGGCAAGCCTGCTTCTCCTTCTACCCTGCCCGCCTGCCTCTCTGCCTACTTGTGATCTCTGTCAAATAAATACATAAAATCTTAAAAAAAAAAAAAAAGGAGACTCAAGGAAAGTATTCGGCACTTGGTAAACACTCAATAGATATTAGCTCCATTATGACTAATTACTCTACTATCTCCCAATGTGTATACTTTGTGGGTACTGTATAATCCAGATTGGATGATGTGAAGTGAATATTTCCAAAAACTAGTATCTTAATTACATTCAAAAGATACTAGGACTAGGCAGGCTAAACTCTGTAACGGGAAATACTGGATAAGAAGTTCCAGGAATCAGGGCACTTGGGTGGCTCAGCGGGTTAAAGCCTCTGCCTTTGGCTCAGGTCATGATCTCAGGGTCCTGGGATTGAGCCCTGCATCTGGCTCTCTGCTCAGCAGGGAGCCTGTTTCCCCCTCTCTCTGCATGCCTCTCTGCCTACATGTGATTTCTCTTTCTGTCAAATAAATAAATAAAATCTTAAAAAAAAAAAAAACCCACAAACAAACAAAAAAGAAGTTTCAGGAATCATCCATCCAATTTTTTTTTTTCTTTCTCTATATTGTATAAGCTAACAATCTGATCACTCAGAAATTCCTAACTTTGATCTGGAAATTGGTAGAACATCTCTTATCCCTACAAAAAAATGAAACAAAATAATACAGCATCAAACCTTACTAGATATGACACCCAGCTCCTATTTCTCTAGAGTCCTACTACTCTAAGAAATAGAAATAGATCCAGAAAAAAGAAAAAGGAAAAAAAAATGATTTTCAACCATTCTAAGATTTAATACCATTTCTCTTCTCTAAAAGTAGACAGTATCAGGAAAATGGAAGATGGTGGCAGAGTAAGAAGACCCAAGCCTCACTCATCCCACAAATGCAACTAGATAATTATCAAATCATCCAAAGTACCCCAGAAATTGTCCTGAAGACTGGCAGAATAAGTTTCACAACTAAGGGTAGAAAAGAGGCCACATCGAAGAAGCCCCCCCCCAAAAAGGGGGGATAAAAAAATGGCACTCACATATATTTAGTATTCATAAAAATTTTCAAAAATAGAAACTAAATCCAAATGAATTTCATGTTCATATGATCTGGGAAAATACTGGTATTACAATAAATTTGAGGATATTGATTTAATTGACCTTTTCAGGGGACAGCTGGATGGCTCAGTGGGATAAGCATCTGCCTTTGGCTCGGGTCATGATCCCTGGGTCCTAGAATCAAGTCCCGCACCAGACTCCTTGCTCAGCAGGGAGTCTGCTTCTCCCTCTGCTTGTGCTCTCTCTTTCTCTGGCAAATACATAAATAAAATCTTTAAAAAAAAAAAGTTTTCAGGGATAGCTGACTGGCTCAGTCGGTGGAGCATGACTCTTGATACTGGTGTTACAAGTTTGAGCCCCACGTTGTGTGCAGAGATTACTTAAAAAAAAAAAAAAAAAAAATCATTTTTTTAAAAAAAAATCTTCATAAAAAAAAATTTTTTTTTAATTAAAAAATAAAAAGTAGGGGCGCTGGATGGCTCAGTCAGTAGGTGACTGCCTTTGGCTTGGGTCATCATTCCACGGTCCTGGGGTGTGTTCCCCCCCATCAGTGGCTCAGCACAGAGCCTGCTTCTCCCTCTCCCTCTGAAGCTCCCCCTGCTTGTGCTCTCTCACTCTGTCAAATAAATAGACTCTTTTAAATAAAAGTAAGTAAATAAATAAATTTTTAAAAAGTAAATTTTTAAAAATAGACTTTTCAGTCTTAAAACTTTGGAATTATCAGCCTTAAAATTAAAACTTTTAGGAGCGCCTGGGTGGCTCAGTGGGTTAAGCCTCTGCCTTGGGCTCAGGTCATGATCTCAGGGTCCTAGAATTGAGCCCCCGTGTTGGGTTCTCTGCTCAGCAGGGAGCCTGCTTCCCCTCTCTCTCTGCCTACTTGTGATCTCTCTGTCAAATAAATAAATAAAATCTTAAAAAAAAATAGACTAGACTGGATTCTGTGTATACCCAGAATGAACTACATTGATTACATGGTAATATTATATCCTCTAAATGTATATTTCCTTTGCACCTGACACATTAATCTTACTTGGCCTCAGCTATCCTTAAAATAAATAACTCAGATGATCCCCACAACTGAATTCAACAATTAGGCTGAACAAATGAAATGGTTGTCTCTTTAGGTCAAATATGAATGTCTTCAAATAGATCAATATTGGCAATTTCATATAGTTAAATCTACCACTGCAAAAAGTGTGAAATTGTGAGGATGATACAGAGTCAGAATACTAATTAACTGCATAGTTCCTTTCCTTTCTCCTCTCTCACTTTCAGAGGAAAAAAAAAAAAAAAAAAACCTAGAAGGGTGCCAGAGCAGCTCAGTTGAGAGTCTGACTCTTGATTTCAGCTTAGGTCATGATCTCGGGGTCCTGAGATTGAGCCCCAAAACAGGCTCCATGTTTATCATGGAGTCTGCTTGCCCTCTCCCTCTGCTGCTCCCCCCTGCTCTCTTTCCTCCCTCTCAAATAAATAAAATCTTAAAAAAAAAAAAACACAAAAAACTAAAGAGGTAAACTCACTTGCAAAGATCATGGCAGTCAAACAATGGCATAACTGACACCAGAATCCAGACTTTGTTTCTCAATTCAAACTCCTTTCTATACCGGGGCACCTGGGTGGCTCAGTAGGTTAAACCCTCTGCCTTCGGCTCAGGTCATGATCCTGGGGTCCTGGGATCCAGCCCCGCATTGGGCTCTCTGCTCGGCGGGGAGCCTGCTTCCCCCTCTCTCTGCCTGCCTCTCTACTTGTGACCTCTCTCTGTCAAATAAATAAATAAAATCTTTAAAAACAACAACAACAACAAATTCCTTTCCATACCAATCTGATTTGTCTATAAAATTAAAAATTCTGATGGAGACCCTGGATGGCTCAGTCTGTAGAGCATGAGACTCTTGATCTCAGGGTCATGAATTCAGGCATCCACATGGGGATGGTGCCTACTTTAAAAAAAATATTTTAAATTAACAAATAAAAATAAAAATTCTGATAAAGAATTTAAATAGTAAATTTTGGGAGGGCGCCTGGGTGGCTCAGTTGGTTAAGTGTTGGTCTTCAGCTCATGATCCTGGGGTCCTAGGATGGAGTCCCACACTGGGCTCCCTGCACAGCAGAGACCCTGCTTCTCCCTCTGCCTATTGCTCCCCCTGCTTGTACTCTCCCTCTCTCTGACAAATAAATAAAATCTTAAAAAAAAAAAAAAAGAGAGATCTATTTTGGGGTCAAAAGTAAAAAAGGAATAATCTTATGGTTCCAGAAGTGAAAGTTCAACTATTCTCCTCAAACCAGCTCTTTATGTCAAGTAGCAGT